TTGTGGCTTATTGATTGATCAAATGAAGAAAAATCAATTGATTAGGATCAGGTATTCACACAGTTAAGGTCATTTAGAGACTTGGAATATGATTTTTAAAAAAAAGCTTGCATATATTAGTGTGTATTAGTATGTGTGTGTAAGTGTAGTAAAAACAGTGAAAGAATGAAGAATTTTCATAAGATTAACTTCTGAACATATTAATTATCTGTGAAGTACTCTATTAGTTAAATGAATAAATAACCAGCTTAAATAACCGAAATTATAGAATGCAAATGGTCAGTGATAATACACATGCATGTGATATTAAAAAAGCATATTTAGACAATCGGACATATTTTAGATTTTTATTGAAGTGTTATCATTGGAGTCTTGAATCGACCATTGTTAGACCACCATTAGAAACATCAAAGCACTGGATCGCCGTCAAGTCCTAGTATGTGTTTCATTAGCAGTGCTCACTCACGATCCTCTCCCGCGAGAATCGAACCAATGGCATTCGATCTCGCTCTGGAAAGCTTAACCTGTAGACCACTGAGCCTACCGGCATCCAACGGTGTTAAAGTCTAACTTTGATCAGTCAAAGGTAATGTGCACCTTCATCTATTGTGTTCAGTGGGTAACTGTCTACACCCAGCAAGGTGAACCTCACTGGTCCCAGTGTCGCACTAGAACTTCGAGAATTTCCACACGAAGCTAGTCACTAGTGAGCCCATTGTTAGACCATCATTGAATTCTTTAATATTAACTAGTTTGTATCGTATTGTGAAATAAATAAAGATGAAAATAACATAGCAGTATAACATCAAATATACACTGAATATATTCACATTAAAAAAAAGTATGCTATTTCATAACTGGTAGATTTCAGAATCATGTCAGGTGTAAGATAAATGCAGAATTAGAAGAGCGAACAAATAGATGCTAAATTATTGTTCAAAATCTTAGGTGTCCACCATAAGACTTAGAAATTCTGGGTTTAACATTTGACTGAGTGTTAGGTTCGTCATTAGGTACCCTTGAAACTATAACACGTTCACATTAGTCGATAAACGCGAACGAGACAATGAACCAGCGTCCAGGTAGGCTACATTTAATCCGAAAAGTCAAAAGAGAAATCTTGATATAGCTTAGAAAGTATATTCTACAAACACCCAGCAATCACACAATACAATCAAGCATACAACTCTCGTTTATTTATACATCATAGAAACGTCCTTAGGACAGTCACAAAAATAGCACACTAAAATACACAGCAGCCAATCACAGCCAACCGCTTTCCTGGTGTGAAATGAAATTTCAAGTTCAACTGATCAGCCCATGCTGGCAAACGTGAAAACCAAAATAAGGCATTTATCAAACGATTTCTGGGGATCTAACATCTCCGCTACAGTTGAAAAATATCTGGAACTCCAAACAACCTTCAACCAAAACCAAAATCACGATTTTCAATACAAACGTCAAGACAGTTCTACTGTATAGAGCGGAAACTTGGAGAACTACCAAAGCCATCATCCAGAAGATACAAGTGTTTATTAACAGTTGTCTACACAAAATACTTCGTATTCGTTGGTCAGACACCACCAGCAACAACTTGCTGTGGGAGAGAACAAACTAGATTCGAGTGGAGGAGGAAATCAGGAAGAAGTGTTGGTGGAAGTGGATAGGACACACACTACGAAAAGCACCGAACTGCGTCACGAGACAAGCCCTCACATGGAACCCTCAAGGCAAAAGGAAAGGAGGAAGGCCAAAGAATACATTACGCCGAGAAATAGAGAAAGATATGAGAGGAATGAACAAACATTGGACAGAACTGTAGAGGGAAGCCCAGGACAGAGTTGGTTGGAGAATGCTGCTGGTGGGCGGCCTATGCTCCATTGGGGGTAACAGGCGTAAGTCAGTAATTAAGTAACATCCCAAACACTGAGTTGCTGATACGAATTACTGAGTAATCGATATTATAACGAAATATATGTATTTTTTATACTTCGTGGTTTTCTGTGATTGTCTATAACAATAATCAGTTTGTACTGTAAAACATTCAATTCATCAAACGTTCATAACATTCCATGAAAATATTTTTTTTACATTATTATTAGTCAGAAATAAGCTTAGTTTGAATTCCATTAACTCTAAATGGAAATCAAATAACGATCGATTCATTCTATTCAATTCATATCGATATTCACATGAATAGTGTTTTTTTTCGTTTTGGTTATCGAGAGAAATCAATAATTCTGTATTGATAAAAAACTATTCAGCTAGCTATCATCCTACTTTAAGCCACGACAGTATGTATCTACTGCAAGTTTATTTTTCTTTGTACAGTAGGTTAGCTTGACCTCACATAAATAGGAAGTAGACAATATTACGTCAATAAATTGAGAATATTACGTCAAATCTATATTTATCTATATATATACATATACCAAAAAAGTAGTTCAATTTAATCTGTTAAAAATCCAAAGTCTAAAAAAGTAAACCGAAGTAAAATGATATAACTATTATTATTGGAAATCAACAAAATATACTACCGTTATTGCGTCATACAAACATAGAACAAACGTTATTACGTCATACAAACATAGAACAAAGAAGATAATTTTATTTTAAAAATTTTCGAATTCTAATTCAAACTGTTGACAGACAATTTAACAGATATTGCATACAAAGAAGTTGTCCAGTGACAGCATACGCGGTGAGTAGTTTAGAGGGAGACCCATTAGAACTCATCCGGCAAAAGAAAGCTGACCCGAACCTTCAAGAGGTAATCAGAGTGATAAAAGAAGGATCAGATGTAGACAAACGAACGACGGACAAGGAGGTAATAATGTTACTTCGGCAAAAGGAACGACTGAGAGTGAACGCATATGGAGTCCTAACCTGGCAGGACGATGACAAGAATTGGGTGGCTGTAATCCCGAATCCTGGCAGCGACACCAAATGTAGTGAAGGTGAACATAGGTGAGGGCAACCGAATTGTACTTATCGAGATTTACAGAGTTAATTGGTAAAATAGGAAAACCATATCGTAAACCGTTAATTTGCAAGACATCAATCCATTGTCTGACATTTCATTGTTCATGCATTTCATACAAATTCCATTGTGTTCCCACTCTTCGTCCTTTCTCTTGATCTTCCCCCATCTTCTGCTGCCAGACATCACGTTTTCACTCGCGTCATATGCTACTTATAAGTAGCGCGCACCACAGTTGCATTTGAGAATCAAATTAGTTGAGTGCTTTAGTTTCTTTCATTTATCCAACAAAAAATGAATCCAAACTGAAGATAAGTTCAAAGAAAGAATGTCAATATAAGGAATAAGATATGATTAAATTATTTAGAAAAATTTTGGTTTAGGTTGAAAAACCAAACGTTAAATTTATGATTGATTTTAAATAGTCTGAATCATTTCAGTCATAATATCTCTGATATGATTACTGCTTAAATAGATTTCATGACTATATTATCAAGTATTTTGGTTATTTGAATCTTTCCATGTTTACGACTACGATTGATCGATCTCACTTGGTATTTGTGCATTTTGTAAGGATTAGCTTCATAATGCTCTTAAGTCACAAGCATTTCGAGCAGAGATGTGTGGTGACTAGCAGCAGATAAACTCGTTCGCGTTTGAAATGAAAGATAATAGGTTCTAATCTAAGACTGAACTTCTACTCCGGGATTCAGGTCTATCCAGATAGAAGGTGCAAAGTAGGACAAAACGTACATCTTGAATTCTACTGCTAGCCACCACCAATTTTTGCTGAACACATAATTAATTAAGAGATTATCTTACTGACGTTAATATAATGATCCTAACTAAGCATTGAATATTGATATTTGAAAAATCTCATTTTTTTGAAAAAGAACAATCAAAGTAAACACCTGTATCGGCCATGAGCTACTTTACAGTTCTCTGTGGTCAGAATTTCTACCACCCATATTGTTTCCTTCCAGACAAGTTTACTTTATGAAAACCTCTTTCGTTTTCGAATTTCATTCGTTCTAAGATATTCTACTTAAAAACAGGAACATATATATATATATATATATATATATATATATATATATATATATATATGACGGTTAAAAGCCTTTTGAAATATTGCACTAAACGTTATCATTTACCCCATCTTCAAGATAATTTATCCCTATTTCCTTCTACTTTGCTTTACAATATTAACCAATGAATTAATTTTCATTATAGGGGACCTGGAGGTGGTTCGATTTCGCAGTCTAACACTGCATAATTACCGTAGATAAATAACTATTAAAAACCATAGAATACTGGACATCTATTTTGTTCTGTTACGTGACTTTATAAGGTTTTAAATTCCAGTAGTGTTCACTTTATAGTTTTGTTCAAGTCATCTTAAAACTGTAGCATCAATGGTTCAAATTGATACGATCGGAAAAAGTGTTGAAGAAGATATATCAAGTCTTCTCCACAAGTAATTTAAGTTTGACAGAAGATTAAAATTAGCACCCCTATAGAAATACTAAGCAGCTTCTTAACCTCATTAACAGTACTAATTCGAACAACCCTTGTTAGATTGTTGAACATCTTTATGCTTGACGGATAATAATAATTAGGGTACATAAACAATGACTCAATCATGAAATGTGATTGCATTTTGCATGTTAGCAAAAATAAACTATAACACAGCAGCATCAATCGTCAAGCTATTCATGTATTTAATTTATATGAAAGAGTCGATAATAATCATATCATAAAGTAACAGTGTATCAATCTCTACACAGCAGTTGTTATAAATGCATAATGAGTTAGTGTATTGGAGTATGAATAAAGAGGGTGATAACTTATCACAATAATAAAACGAGACAATTTATTGATTGACCTTTAAAAGATCCAATCAATTGATAGAATAATAGACAAATGAGCCAATCATAAACAAGCATTACTCTCATTCGTCAACAATCTTAGCGACTTAAATACTTACTTCTCGTGATTTATCACAATGCTTTCGAACATGATTTCTTTAGTTTAGGAGAATGCTATGTACAGATCATTCGAAGTGCTTATGTGCAATATTATTTTTACCCGAACTCAAGATCCACTATGGGAGTTTATTATTCTTTAAATAAAGAAAATGAATGTATTCATAATAATATTTTAAAAGGAATAGTTGTTTCAAATATTCATACAAACAAACGCAAACATTTTGGTTCAAGGAAATATTCACGTAAATCCAATTTTTATATAATTGAAGTGATAAATATTACTGCTAAAAACAAAAATATCTTCGACCATATGAGTAAAAGTTCAGAAATTAAATCCATAGATAAATCACAAGCTATTTCCAATCCATCCATGAACTCAAGAGAATGTGTTTCGCCTACATTACCTAGACGAAAGTCACCAACACATGTTCACGCAAAAATCTTTAATAGTTGTGTTCCTCTCTCTGGTCTACGTCGATCATTATCCTTGCCAAAGCAGAACAGTCTGTTCAATAAGAACCTTTCTCCCGAATCTAGATTTGGAATACTAGGATCGAAGTGCTTGTCAAGAAATAATTCAAAGGGCTCGGCAACAGAGGGAAACGCTTCACCCGTTGGTGTCGAACACTCCCCTTCTTCTACTTGTTCTAAAGATCCATTATTCAAGTGGAAAAGTAGTAAGCATAACCAGTCATATCGTGATAAACGTGATAAGGATTTTGACTGTGGTCAAGATAATCTTGTATTCGAGAACTGTCTGGATTGCATCGATGACCAAACAACAAATACAACCACTATTTCCAGTGACTATACGCCTTCCACAGATGACTGTTCCTCCATTTTTTATGACCCCATACTAGCTAAACTTGAAGCGGAATTACCTGTTCCACCGCCTCCTCCACGTGCTTGCCCACCTTGGCTTAAAGCTGCTCTTGCTAAACAAGAAGCTTTAGGCAAAGAACCAGTACAAAAGTTTAATTTCAAAGATAGATGCTGCGTATCATCTTCATTACAATTACCTACAACTCAGTTGTCTCCTCTTCCATCTGACCTAGATCAACATAAGGCTTATAGCCTTGGAAACAGTCGTTTTAATGTTCGCATTTATCCGATTATACAAAATGGAGTAAAAATAAGTGATACACACTACTGGCTTCTCGATCCTCCTCGATCTAAGACATTACGTGATAACTCTACACTTATGCGTAGAGCAACTGAATGTGTACGAGTCCCCCCATCTTCACCATTGGATATTTATTCAACAATTGATGGTTATACAAACATTGAATCCACCAGTTTATGTCCTCCAGACGAGTTACCACTCAAAGATGTCAAGCTGAGACGTGGTAAATCTGAAAATTGTAAAGATTTTTTAAAGAATTGGCATAAAGAACTAGTTTTACGTTTGATGAAAGAAGTTCCACAAGCTACTGAATCCGAATGTCAAGCTGTACTAATAGGCAGTAGTTATGATTATGAAGAAGCCACCAGGCGATTAAAATTTGAATTATTATGCCGTAAAGGTTATGTGTCTCGATCACACAGTAAACGTTTATTATGTAAATATAATTGGGATTTAGATGCAGCTATTTCTCGAGCTCGTTATGAGTATGAATTTCGGAAATTAAAACGTCAAGAAAGAGAACAAATATCATTCGATGATCAAGATCAATCATCATATTTGAATCAAACAAGAGGTCGTAGTAAATATTTAGCACCTCATTCATCAACTTCATCCGACTCGTCTTCGTCACCTTTACCATGTTCTATTCATCATCAATCGGTCATTTCACCATGGTATGATGAAGATCGAAGAAGTAATCTTTTTTAATTTATTTTGAGATATAATTTCTACAGAAAAGATGTATATTATTTTAACTCATTTGACAGTGATTGTGTATTAAGAGTTCTGAATGAACATATATAAATATTCATGCATAGATGCACACCCACACTCACACAAATACACAAATCCCATACATCAATCATTTATCATTTCAAACTGAAGGAAGAAGAAATTGTTGAATAATTGATTTTTCTGATACCAAAGGTAAACCAAATATATTTTTATTTACCAATTTTAGTTCATATATTCTCTAACGATCAATAAATTTGCGGTTTGTTTTCGTTTTCTTTCCTTGTACTTACAACACTACCGGTGTGTTCATCTAGATGAATGAATTAATTAATTATTCGTGACAGAATTGTCATAATTTATTCGATTCTTTTTTTTTCTTTTCTTGGAGTAAGAGGTGAAGGAAAATTGATAGAGGTTGTCATTAATTAATTTATTTATTTTTACCGCTGTATTCATTGAAGCATTTACAAATTTGTAACACAGAAAACTGTAATGCACTTTATAAACATATATATTTCTAAAGTTTATTTATTTTTATTTATGGAACTAAACAACTGTGTTGTACAATAATGGGATCTTCTGTATTGAATGAATGCTTCCTTTTTATAAAATTCAGAATGCGCACACTTACAAACACATGTACAAACAAATATATTTATACATACTCTAGTTGTATATAAACTGAACATAATACTCAATTTTTAGTTAAAAAAAAATTAAACTAGAATTAATAATCTACTACTAATTGAAAGTCTAGTCAGTTAGAATATTTCTTTTTAAGTCGATTTACTCTAATGTCTTTTCTAAATTCTTTGCTTTCATCCTTTTTCCTTTTAATTCACTATAACTGCCTATATATTCAATCTATGCATACAATGTAAAATGTGTTCCGATTCGACGCTTCAATTTTATACTTTTCTATAAGATCAACTTTTTTTTTTACTGTATGCGGGCATACATAAGTTGATAATATGGTATCTTATCTTATCTTGTCTTATCTTATCTGATATACTTGTTCTTCAATTATTTCTATAGTTCATTGTTGGTTGCCTCATTATCAACAATTCGAACTACTTATCTTCATGCTGAACAATACAATTAATGGATTATTGTACATGTTTATGTACACACACACACCTACCCATAGATGAATATAGAGATGTATGTATTTTTATTTTTCCCTTGATCCATCATGTTATTATAGCTTATGTATAAAAAGAATAACTAAACTATTCATGAACTTGTCTATTTTATTTCATTTGTAAAACAAATCAGAAAGTCGCAATAACAACAAAAAAAGGATCTTGTATATTATTGATTATTTATTTTTTTAAATTGTATAAAAGAGGGAGATGTTGTTTACTTTTTATATTTTTCCTGAATGATAAAAAAGAGAATAGAATGGAAAGAAATCATGAAATAATTAATACTAATTGACTATTTTGATTGAATTGTTCACATGCCAACAGATGTTTGCGTTTGAAAAATAGCAAATCATTCTCTAGTTGTTATATAACAGATACAGAAGGCTTGATTGGCTTTTGCCAACCTGCTTCACTTATGGCGATGGCGAGATATCCGTTTGCTGACTAAAGGACGAGTGTACTGTGCAGTGGTTCGCTCCGTCTTACTTTATGGCTGTGAAACATGGCCAGTGAGAGTAGAAGATATTCGTAGGTTACTGGTTTCCGATCATAGGTGTCTTCGAAGCATTGCTCGTATATCGTGGGACACCCGAGTGAGCAACGCTGTTATTAGGAGTCGGGTGCTAGGTAAGAATGGCAGATCAATAGATGAAGTGATGAAACTTCATCAGTTGAGGTGGTTGGGACATGTGCTGCGTATGCTTAACCACCGACTGCCTCGTCGAGCTTTGTTTTGTAGTGTAGGAATAGGTTGGAAGAAAGTTAGGGGTGGTCAGACCAAAACATGGCAGAAATCCATGAAGTCATTGACGAGTGGACTTAGCCATGTCGGTAATTGTCGACTACCTGGTTGGGGTCCGCGAGATGATAATAATCGATGGTTAGAGACCTTGAATGACATGGCTCAAAACCGTTTGCAATGGCACCGGTGCATTTATGCTTTGTGTTCTCTCAAATCCTAATCTTCTGGGTTCTTCAACACCTCTAGTTTTGACTTTCTAAACTTTTCTCATTAAATCATACTTCTTGAATAATATCTTCTAATCCTAACCTCTCCGATTACTTCTAATACCTTTATTACCTCTACTACTATTGGATTTGAATTGACAATTACATCTCTGTGCTGATATGGTATGGCGACATGAACTGATATACTTACGTACGAAGTTCTACGTTGCATCTGATTGACTGTTATATAACGGAGGCATAAGTAGTAAATAAAAAAACGCCAATAGTCTATAAAAACAATGAATAGTTTGTAGAAGAAAAAAGATTTTTTCAGTTGAAGAACTGTGATATCATGAACAGCTGTTCTATTTGAATCTAACCTTGAAAATTTTTATTGAAAAAACTAAAGAAAAGAATTTGTTACAAGAAATATTACTACTGAACTGCTATGATAACACGTTATAATTGGTGCTTACTTCCTCGTGAGCTTAATAGTACTTACTTACTTACCTAGTTTTGCCTGTTACCTCCCAATAGAGCATAGGTTGCCTACAATTTTTCCCCAACCAACTCTGTCCTGGGCTATCCTTTCCAGTTCTTTCCAATTTTTGTTCATTTTCGTAATATCTTTCTCTATTTTTCGTCATAATGTGTTTCTTGGCCTTCCTCTTTTCTTCGACCTTGAGGGTTTCAGGTGAGGGTTTGTGTTGTGAGGCGGTTGGGGTACTTTCCGCAGTGTGTCCTATCATCTTCCAGCATCTCTTCCTGATTTCCTCCTCCACTGGAATCTGGTTTGTTCTATCCCACAGTAAATTGTTGCTGATGATGTCTGGCCAACAGACAGACAGACAAATACAACGCAGAACTTCGTACGTAAGTACATCAGTTCAGGTTGCCATACCACATCAGCACAGAGACCCCACTGTCAGAGTGATAGCGATAGTAGAAGTATTAGCATTAATGGAAAAGATTAGGGAGCGAAGATATGATTCGAAAAGTATAATTCAGTGAGATAAATTTAGAAGGAGAAAGATGAAGATGATGAGGAATTCAGAAGGTTAGAATTTGAGGGAACACAAAGAGTGGATGAACCTGTGCCATTGCAAATGATTCTCAGACATGTCGTTCAAGGTCTCTAACCATCGGTGACTTTCATCTCGCGGACCCCAACCAGGTAGCCTACATCTACCAAAATGACTCAATCCACTTTTCTGTGACTTCATGGATTTGTGCTATGTTTTGGTTTGGCCGCCCCTAACTTTCTTCCAACCTACTTCCACACCACAAAATATAGCTCGCCGATGGTTAGGCATACGAACACGTGTCCCAAGCACCTCAACTGATGAAGTTTCAATGCTTCATCTATTGATTTGCCATCCCTACCTAGAACTCGGTTCCTAACGACAGCATTGCTTATACGGTTGTCTCACGATATACGAGCAGTGCTTCGGAGACACCGACGATCGAAGACTACTAACCTACGAACATCTTCTACTCTTAACGGCCATGTTTCGCATCCGTATAGTAGGACGGAGCGAACTGCTGAACGGTACATTCGTCCTTTGGTTAGCAAGCGAATTTCTCGCCTTCGCCATAGGTGACGCAGTTTGGTCTGGCCAACAGATCCAAAGTAGTTTGCGCAGACAACTGTTAATGATTACTTGTACATTGTGGATGATGGCTTTAGTAGTTCTCCAAGTTTCCGCTCCATACAGTAGAAGTCTTATGAAATTTATATTGAAAATCCTGATTTTAGTGTTGGTTGATGGTTGTTTTAAGTTCCAGATATTTTTCACTTGTAGAAGGGCAGCACTTTTTTTGCCGATCTTCACCCTCACATCTGAATCGGATCCACCTTTATTGTCAATGATGCTGCCAAGATATGTAAAGGTGTTAACGTCCTCCAAGACAACTCCATCAAGAGTGGTTTGTTTGGCGCATGTTGTGTTGTATCGGAGAATCTTGCTTTTCCCTTTATGTATGTCGAGAACTACTCCTGCTGAGGCTGCTGCTACACTGATTTTCTTCTCTTACATTTGTTGTTGTGTGTGAGATAATAGAGCCAGGTCATCTGCGAAGTCCAGATCGTCAAGCTGCGTCCTAGCTGTCGACTGAATACCGTGTTTCCCTCCAGATGATGACGTCTTCATAATCTAGTCGATTACGAGGAGGAAGAGTGACAGTAAGCAACCTTGCCTGACACCGGTCTTCACCTCAAACGAGTTTGTCATTTGACTTCCGTGCACGATTTTGCAGTTGAATCCATCCTAAGAATTCCGTATGATGTTAACTATTATCTCAGGCACGCCGTAGTGTCGAAGAAGTCTCCATAGTGTTTTCCTGTCCACCCTATCGAATGCTTTCTCGTAGTTGATGTAGAGTGGTGAATTCCATTCAATCGATTGTTCCACCTTAATGGTACTGTACAACTGTTTTTAAACCTAAATATGATCTAATCATGTATTGATTATTTTGCTTTGTATTAGCTTGATGAAAAGAAACTGACACAAGTATAATTGACATTATTAAGTGCGAATGAATCGAAGACTTCTTTAAATGTATTCGTTTATATTTCTGAACATGCTAGAAACTAAGTTAATCTTTCATCAGATGACACACTTGCGTTTGAAACTAAACAATACAATATTGAGTAGAATTCTAATTGTTTCTAACTTTTAGTATGCATTTTTCATGGTTATGTTTGATGGCTAATAGGTTGATTATTTGGAACGGCTTTTTCTATTAAACAAAATAAAGTCCATCAAACAGTCACTGAAAATCAAAGTTTTCTACACTGTTATGTTGATTTCAATTACAAGACTTCCATAGAAAATAAACTGCCGATCCGTTGTATTATAATGGAATTCTAGTGAGAAGCCGTGACCAGTGGAGTTCAGTTACCCACCGAAGACAATGGATGAGGTTGAGTAATAGCATGGATTGATAAAAGTTACACTCTTACATTGTTGGCCGTCGGCTATCTCAGTGGTCTAGAGGTTAAGTGTTCGTGCGCGAGATACAAGGTCCTGGGTCCGATTCCAACGGAGGATCGTGAGTGAGCACTTAATGAAACCCATGCTAGGACTTGATGGCCATCTAGTGCTTCCAGGTTTATAATGGTGTTCTGACAATGATCGACCCATAGCTTTAAATATTTTATTTCTATCTGTTACATAATCGCTAATGATCAAGTGTGACACAAAGAAGTTGTGTGTTGTTTTGCTCATACCCCGTCTTAACCATGAAGGAAGGTGTTCACTCATTTATCTGGTTGTATGACTGATATAGCTTTTTTCATTGGTGTTCTTAATCCTGTAGAAATAAAAACCAATTTTAACTAAAATCCATTCTATAAGACTATAATAATCAAATCATTAGTGGCTTGTTCAATGATATTCTTTCAGTCCTTATGAGAAGTTATTACTGGTGTAGACCAGATATGTTGGTGGCTAAATATATGCATTCAGTTTCACTGGATGATCGTCGCATCATATCGCAAGTTGATCGAATTCGGAAATGTACCAATCGATGTCGATCGAATGCTTCTAATGGTTAAGTGTCTACCGTGA